GACCATAATTTTTAGAAACGGGCGGGCACACCCAAATTGAGTCAGCACTAGATGAGCTACGACTTAGTGCTGAACCTATTCTAAAACAGGGAAAAGYCCCAGGCAATAGCTTGAATTTGGTAACGTACTGCGAATCGAAATGGTTTCCACAAATAAAAAGACTATCGGAAGGCGACACAACTAAGTTGCAAGCTTTTGCCCAACTTTCTCGAACATCTTTTTCTTTAGGAAATTTGTAGAGCGTTTTCTGCCGGTTAACGCAATTCGAAATGCAGCATCTTCGAACCGGCAATTGAGTCGTCCACAAATGCTTAGGGGGTTCGTCGTATCCTATTTAAATATGTACATAAAAAATTTTTAGAAATTCCAATATCTACTTGTATATATAAAATTAATTAAAATTTTAGAAATGCCAATATGTACGTGTATACATAAAATAAATTAAAATTTAAATCAAATTCAACCCACTGTTTCTAGTTTGATAAATTTTAAACAATTTTATAATATATGTATCTGTCGAAAACTATTTTAATTGGAAAAATTGGTTTATTGAATTGTTCAAAATTGAAAATGTTTGTTACTACTAAAAGACATACGCACATGAACACAACGTAGATATGTATGTATGTTAAAACAAAAGGCAACATAAACATACACACATGCGCGGATCAACGGGGTAAAGTTAAAAGTAATTATTTCCATCAAAAGTGGCACTCCGCGAAGAAAAAAACTTTAAGTTGCAAGTAGAAAATTATATACATATGTATGTAGTTCCCTCCCCAAAATTCTTCTCTGGATTCGCCCCTGTACACATGCACATAAGTTTAGTGATTTAGGATATTTTGAAAAMTAGCTTTGAAATTTGAAAATAAAATTAGAATTGGTTTCCATATTCTAAAAACAACTTATGACACTTTTCATGTAAATGAGCGATATGTACTTATATGTACATACATATSTATGTATATACAAAATAAAACTCATGCACATTTTAGATTTTAAAAAACATCACTTACCAAGGCTTAGGGTGGGCACAGCATGCGCCTTCAACTTTTTCACACCCACAGCACTTTGTTCGAAGTGCTTAATGCAAACAAATGCATTGTGGGTGGGTAAATCCCGCGTTGGTGGGATCCGTAAATTTTCCACCCACTTCAGCAACTCCTCCTCTCTTTTAGGGAATGAGAAGAATCTTCCGGAAGATTCTGTCTCACACTCGCGAACGCGACACTTCCTTACTCTAGACATTTAATGAAAATTATTTAAAAATTACTTAAAACACTCAAAAAACGGATTGGCGACCGAGCTAAACTTTTCTCGACGAAATTCTATCAGAACTAAAATTCCGTTGACGATTCCTTTTTCCAACTTTCATTTTTGGCGCAATTTCCCCACCCAAATATATTAGGATTAGAAGGAGTCCAACTACGTGC